TTAATTTAATTGCAATTTTGTTTTTCTGAGCAAAAAATAAATATCATACATTTTTCCCTGATTTACAGAAGAGACCCAGTAAAATGTCATTCAGTGTAACAATCTTGTCAGGCGTATTTACAACAAAAATCTATTTATGACATATTAACAGACTAATTACTTTCACCCCAAACACTAATTAGGTGTAATTTTACATTTTTTAAATGTGCCTCTATCCTAGGTTTTGCCTGTTTGTCAGTAAGACTTTTTTACTCATTTAAAACTCAATCAAATTTAATATGCTCCCTTATTATTTTATATATTTTAATATGTACAGGTCAGAATAAGCATGTTGTTTGAATTTTTACATAAATATTGTGTTACACTGAATGACAATGTAACATTATTTCAACCAAATGTTGACAATTTATTCTCCAAAAACGTATTTGAAACCTTAAAAATTACTTACATTTAATGTGCTTTCTATGGACACTTTTTTAAATTTCTTTTGATGCGGACATCTTAACGTCTTTGACCCAAATACATATAAATAAATATTTTCAAAATATATACTGTATGTGTGTGTATTTATATAGACATAATAAATATACACAGCACACACACACATATATTATGTAAACAAAAACTTTTATTTTGGATGCGATTAATCGCGATTAATCGTTTGACGGCACTAATATTTATTTCCTTTCATTTTGTTCCTTCCTTTTTATTTTTTTTGACTTGCTCTTAAAAAGGTATTTAAAAACTCTAAAATTAACCATCATAAACCTTGCAGAAACCCTGAGTCTGTGTAATGTCTCCATTAGATATCTAAGTAAACGCGCATGTTTTAGTAGCTCGTTAGTTGTCTCTGTTCACGTGTCTGATAGAGATGGTGTGTGAGACAGTTCTGTTCTCTGTTCTCCTGAGGCCTGATATCCAGATCATCCCCTCATTTATTATTGACCAGCGTCTGCATTATTGCACGAGCCTCTGTCTCTCTCTATCTGCTGTAATTTACGTTTCTGTTGCTATTTTTATAACTGCCTCATTATTCGTGAATCTGTCGCCTGATGATCTGCAGGGCTGTTTAGTCAAGGATCACTAGTACTAGTGATCAGTCTTCTAAAGGCATGTTTACACTGCAGACGCAAACCTCTGCTGACAGCAACACTAACACCTCTGCTTTGGGGTGTGTCTTTCATTAATGCTGGTATGAGATCAGATATATTGCATTTACGAGTTAAATGCACATGAATGTCTCTACAAAGTCCTAATTATGAGTGGGAGACTCAGGATTTTCCTTAAGCGCAGATTTTGTGAGTTGGGGGCATTAGTGAGAAAACACGCCAAATGCAAAGTCTGTGTTAATTTGCTTTTTTTTTTTACACAGTACAAAAGAAGTTGCAAATACAAAATGCGACAGTATTGTATAATTATGATAGAATGCATAATGATTCAATTTACAGCACCTTCCTGAATTAAATAAAAACAAAAAAGAAACACACACACCCAGTGCACACTCTTTATTCATCAATTTGTAGATTAACATTTTTTTTTTACATTTTATGCAGAAAAGGTGCATCACCATCTTATTCTGACCGAAGTCACCATGCGTACAAAATATGTTTATTTCAATGCAAACTAAGCATATTCATCATATACGTGATTACAGTTGAAAGAAAAATGCAAGCTTTGTTTCTGAATTACCAAAGATAGTGTCATTTTAATATACTTTCCTTAATCCAGCCAGGTTTAGTCCTAATGGAACTGTCCAAAAACTAGAATTAAATGTAGTAATATGTTAACATTATTATTATTATTATTAATGCACTATTAATACACTTTTTATGTTTTGTAACATAAAAAACAAAAACAAATCAGAACTGCAAGATCGGCATATTTTTAAGCACTCATTGATGTTTGCATAAAGTCAAGCATTTTTTTGGATGCTCACGTTGCTTTTAGTGCATGCAAGTCTTCCTGCGAAGTTCATATTTACGAGTAGGGAAGGCGTATTTACTGTACGACGTCATGTGCGTTCAAATCACTTTTTTGGAGCAAGATGACAAAATACCCCAAAAATAATAATTTTTTAACTCTACAAAATTATTTAGAAAGACTGTGCATTGTGTGTGTTTTTGCATTGTTTTATTGTGCAGTACTGTGTATTTTGTACATTCAACTTAGTTTTAGTGTGAATGTAAAAAAAACACACAAAAAAAACATTAATTTTAACAAACTTACCATTGACACAGACTTTGCATCTGGCATTTTTTATGTGTGCTCAACTCATAAACACAATCTTCCTGCCATGACTTGAATGCTTAATTTCTCTGACCATCAATCCCTCAATCCAAGCTCAACTTCCATAAGGATGCATTGAAATGCATTTTCTTCAGTAAAAGGACATATGTGACCCTGGAGCACAAAAGCAGTCATAAGGGTCAATTTTTCAAAATTGAGATGTATGCATCATCTGGAAGCTGAATAAATAGCTTTCCATTGATGTATGGTTTGT